GAGCTCGTTTGCTTTCTGTCACTGAAGTTAGAGGCTTAGCTTAGCTTAGCTTAGCATAAAGACTGAATGCTTAATAATTTATCAGATGGCTTCAATTTAACGATTTTTAGGAACAATTTCTGCTCAACCGTCTCTGAATCGTCTGGAATCTTGAAATTGTGACTATTTATTAAGACATCTGTGAAACTTTATCTTGACATGTGAAGAGATTTCCTGTTTTTAGTCGATTAACCAGGTCTCTTACCACAGTTATTTAAAAAATATTTTATTTTCTTTATATATCATTTTTTTAATATAACAATTAAAAAATATATCTAAATAAAATTATTCATATCAAACAAGAACTTGGGTCTTAAGAAGTTAAAATTTCAGGCTGTTTGGACGACAATATTTAAAAATAACAATAATAACAATAGTAATTTAAGTTCTAAAAAAAAGTTATTTCTCGTCTTTTCATTGATTCAGAATCTTCAGTGTTTGATTGGTCACACCCTGATTAACTCTTCCAGCTGTATTTTTGTGTTTATGGTACAACTTGTCCCACCTGATCAGCAGAAACATGTTTTTCTGGCCTTACACGTTTAGTTTTGTATTATCGTGACCCGCGGCTACGTGAGGTCGAGACACTGCCGCCCCAACAGAAAGCAAACGAGCGCCTTCCTCAGACCGAACCGTCTGCAGGTGGTCTAGGCATCTACTTACTAGCTGCCATGTTGGCCATGGAGGCGTCAACATCCCCCGCCTGAGGGGTCACAGTGGGCTTCATTACATCCCCTAAGCCATCAAATACTACAGCGGGGAGGAAGAGGAGGGGAAGGTGTTAGCATCCTCACACTAAGCTCCTTGCTACTAGGGATCGCCATGACAACCGATAGATGTCTCCATGACAACGGAGAGAGGAGGATAGCGTTGGAATGCCAATAAAATACTAGAAGCCATCAGCAGTAAATAGGAAAATGGGTTGGTTTTTTTTTGCAAACTGGAGACATCTATGGTGATCATTTAAAAGGCGGCAACAAGAAACAAGAGCTACGTCTTTTTAAATATGTATATGTGGCAGATATATGTAAAAATTTAGGATATAACAGCTTCAGAAATACATTCTGAGTATGTTTGTGATTTTTGCAGAAACTGTGATGAGAGCAAAATGAAGCACTGCAGCTACAATGAAGCCGGAGGAGAAAAACAAGCTCTAAGCAATAATAATAACAATAATAATAATAATCGTGCTACTTGTAGTGAGAAGCATCTGAGGCGACGGTGCAGCTGAGCTCGGCCCGCACCGCCGCAATGCAGTGCACTGTGGGTAAATTAGCGTGTTAGAGGAGCGAGAGGGAAAACTCACCCAATCAAATGGCAGGAAGCAAGAAATGAAGCCAGCCCAAGAGCCAGATGGAGAAAGAGGAGCAGCGAGGGAGGGGATGGTGGGGAGGGGGAGTAAAAATAAAAAAGCAGAGATGCCACAAAGAGAGAGAGAAAAGAAAAAAAAGCATCGAAGGTTTAAAAGGAGGCCGATTGAATGACGACAGGGAGGAGGAGAGAGCAGAGAGAGAGTTTAGCGTTCAAGCAGTTGCATCGCAGACCGTCAGTGGTGTGAAGGCGACCAGGTGAGCAGGGGCGGGGCGCGTCGCCGTGGTAACGGTTACTACGGTTAAAATGCGGGAAATCCCCGAAGACGAACGGCGGGAATGCAAATGGTGACGTCAACCCAAAACACACTCAGATATTCCACAAAATGTAGTTTGTTTTTACTATTTTGTTAACCTTTACCCCAGTTAATCCCAAAACAACCAGATGTCGATAAACTGCTGACAGACGGGCTTCACACGGTTAGACATCGATGGATGAAGTCGTGGATAAATAATGAGCCTGAGGAGAAGCTCACCGACGTTATTCTGCATAGTTATCGTACTAGAGCGGCACGGTTACGGCCAAAACGTTCACATTTATCACAATCGTTCATCGATTTAACGCTGAGCCACATCGCTGCTGAAAAATACCTTCTTGACTTCAGAGAATCTCCGAGAAGCTACATATTAGATAAAATGTGCCAAAAACTCTTCAGTTCATCGACAGAGGCTGCAATTTGCAGATGTTCCCTAAACGCCTCAGTAGGTGCTAGCAAGGCGGCTGTGCACAGAGAAGCTTCTAGTCTCCAGTTTATTAAACGTGAGGTTTAAAACTGTTTTAATGTCAGATTTACCCAAAACCAGGTGATTTTATCTACGTGGGCTGTTTTCTGTGTCACGTATTTTAATCCTCTGAACCCCAAAATCTGGCAGCAGGTTTGAGAGACGCAGCATCTTTTAAAAAATCTGCAAAATTCCACCATTTATCAGAAGAAAAAGTGTAAAACCTGAAAGAAACTCTGATGGTGGAACTTCTTTCTACATCTGATTAGCAGAGCAGTATGTAAAAAAATGCTGCTAGAAGCTGTAAAAAAAAAAGGCAATATTAAAATTTCCACAGCACGTGGAGCCTCCTTTTTTTCTGTATTTAAAAAATATTTTAATTTATTTATTTTAATTTTTGCTGAATAAATACGTCATTCTAACTTCATCAAACCGACAGAAGACACTCCTGACTCCTCTCTCCTTCCACAGAGCTGCAGGATTTTATATCGCAGTAAAAAATGAGCAAAAAGTCCAGAATCCGGTTCAGAGTTCAGACGATTAAACGTTAACGCTGCATTCGATTGTGCTCATTTCATTATAAGAAGCCAAACTTGTGACTAACATCCGATTAACTGTGCAGCCCGACATTATAAACCTGCACAAACTATTGCACGTGAAGCCGAGGACGCAGGTGTTTCATGTGATTTAAACCGCTGGAGTTGATGAAATGTTGCAAACATGCAGAAAAAAATGGACAATTTTTAGATTAATTTGGTTGTAAGCTGCTAAAAAAGAACCCACAAACAATCCAGCTCTACTCATCACTGTGAATTTTCAAAAAAGCAACGTTTAAAGTTATATTTAAAGCATCCACGGCTGCTGTGTGTCCAGGTGGGGTTTACCTGACATCAGCTCGGCTCCGGGGGCAGCAGGAGCAGCAGCAGCAGCCGGGGCGTCGCCTCCTGTGGACTCTGGCGGGTTTCAGAAAACGACGATCCGCGGCAGGTTTCCATCGCAGCATGAGGGCAAAGAAGGTAAGAATCAGCCCGCGGCTTCACTTGGCGCTAGTAATGCCAGACAAGATGTTAAGAGTTAGAGAGGCAGCAGGAAAACACGATCATCTTTGCAGCAAGACACTGGATTTAACCCTCACACACACCCACACACACACATCTTGTCATAATATTTCACTCGTAACAGCCATGATGTAGCATCCATGTGCGTTTTTATCAAACATACACATGTTCATATGATGTCAGATCTGCACCAGGAAGCCGGACTCTTTAAAAATGACAAAAGAAATGCGGTTACTTTCAAAACCTGTGCACAGAAAATTACAGAAACAACGGCTCAGTGCTCACATGCTAATCAAACTTTGCTTCCTTCACTTTTAATTCCTCTGAAACGTGAAAGAAGATCTCGTAAAAAGCGCCGATAAGAGTAGAAGTGTAAAGCTGCAGGAAAGTGGACTAAAAGCACCTTAAAACCTGTACCCACAGACTATTTAAAGATGGATGTAGGTCTAAAAAGTGAACTTAAACATGCCTTAAACCTGCATTTTTCTCCACACAGCCAGCAGGGCGGCGACTCGTCTGGTTGCAAAAAGAAGTGAAAAAGTGAGCGACTTCTCATTTGATTTGCTACCTCGGTGAACATTTTCCTAATAAGTTTATGGTCTTAATTGCTGGTTTTGAGTCTCCTTCAGTACAGCATGATGCACATTTTTATACTTTGTGGTCCCAGTAAGAGGAAAATAGACGATAAAGCAGAGCATCACATGTAGCACCGAGGCTAATCCACAAACAAATCTGTGACTTCATTGTGGCTACATCCATCTTTTAAGTAAAGACTATGATTGTGCTCAAGCTCAGGACTTTAGTGAACATATTTCACACCACTACCCTGCTGCCATTTGACCTCTTTGTACACGTTGGCATGTTCTGGGCTCTTGAATGATGGAAATCCCTTCATGCTGACTGATGTGTATTACATGTTGTTTAGTCTTGATGGTTTATCAGTGCTGAAAAAAATACATTTCATAAGACTGACTCATAATTTTTCGCTCTATCTTGGGGCCGGTACCTTTTATCAGCAGCTTTTTCTTCTCTTTGTGTGACTGTTTTCAACATCAACAACCTCCAAGCAGCAACTTACTACACAGAAAACTTTGCAGATGCTCGTTATTTCCCATTTTAATAATAGGTTTTGCCTCCCTGCATGTAAATATTCCATCAAAAAAAATCCCCTGGTCAGTGTTCTGAAGGGGCACCATCACTGCATCCTGGGCTTAGCTTCACCCAAGGAATCGTGTAATTGATTTAAAGCAATTTTTTGGTTGTTGTTGTTTCCCCCCAAATAGCAGAGTGATATGAAGGTGCAGTCAGACCATTCAGCACAGCCCTAGAGAATGATCTGGCTACACGAGACTAGCTAGAAGCTAAAAAGCTGCAGTAACCAATCGGCATCACACCTACAACCGATGAAATCATCACGATCCGCCACAAGAGTCTCAAAAGTCAACAGCTAATGTCGAGAAACTGGGTCAAGCAAGTGCTCTTCACAGTTCGCTGCTTGCTTGAGTTTCTATTCGTGGAAGATGTTTTCTGGTTTTTCTGTGCGCAGGTTTCGAAACTAACCGAAAACTCCCGAATCAAAGCCGTCGCTTGACCAAGCTTCACATCTCAAGTTTCTGCTGATCTACCCCCAAAAACAGAAGGCAGTGGAAGAGCTCGACATGCAGCAACAAACCCAGCTCGTAAAGCAAGAAATCTGATCAGTATCGCCCCTTTTTTCTTCTTCTTCTTCGATGGTGTTTTGTGTGAGTTACCCACCACCAAACAGGCTCATGATGGCTCCCGTGTCTACTTTGGGTGGGGGCGCTGAGGAGAGGACGGGGGAGCTGAACACATCCACTGGAGGAGGCAAAAGGTGGAGACGATGATGTTTAGAGCCCCAACTCACACAAACACACACACACACACAATCAGAAACTGTTTTATGCGCCGTCATTCGGTTGCAGCACAATGCACTGGGTGCCACGCAGGAGGCATGCTGGAAAGTAGCCCGCAACAAGCAGCCTCGCTTAGTTCTCTAGTTCCCCGACAAAGCTGCAGAACAGACACTTCAGAGCAAGAACACCAGGCGGCAGACCGAGTGCAGACAGGTACCTCCTGAAAACAAGTCGGCGCCGGGAGTCGACTCTGCTTTGGCGACGTCCGGCATGGAGTCAAAGATATCTACGGAACACATGCCAACCCAAACACAGGAGTTACAGAACGAAGCTCTGGGACATGATGCAGACAACAGACAGGAGGGAGGAGGATGGATGGATGGATGGATGGATGGATGGATGGCACAACCAGATGAAAACCGGACCACACACATCTCTTTACCGCTGAAAAGGTCATTTGCAGGGTCGGCGCTGGACGCTAGCGGGGCGGAGATGGTGGCGGTGGTGACGATGGTGCCGGACGAGGAGGCGAACAGCGGCGAGGGGGAAGGGGAAGGGGAGCTAAAGCAGGCGTCCAGAGAGCCCGCCGGGCCGCCGCCGCTGTCCGCCGTCATCATGCCGAACAGGTCGAGACCCGAGGACACCGCCGTGGAGCTACAGTCGGACGGAGCGAAGGGGTCTTTGGGGGAGAGATGGAGGTGAAGGGGAGGGTGTTAGACAATGAGGTTAACACAGAACAGGACCGACAGCACTGGGCAGAAGTTCTGGGAAAGTTTAGGTGTTGTGGTTCTTATCGGATCTCTGATATAAAAAAAAAAAAATGTTGAGCTAATATCTGGGAAAATAATAACTGTAAAAAACAAGAGGCTCAAATTATCAATAATAATTTTATTGATATGAACTCATTCTTTTTAAATTAAATTAAATTAATTTAAACCAGCTTTACTGTGTTTAAATCAGATGTTGATAATGAGGTAGTTTAAAAAAGAAAATGAATGTATATTAGGACTGAAAAAATGTAAGTTATTCTGTGAATGTTCCCTGTTTTGTTGAATTACAGATAATGTCTAGAAAAATTGCAGAAAAAATATTAATTAACACGTTAACTGTTAATTTTTTTTTTTAAAAAAGGGCTAGTAAAATTACAGAAAAACTACAGATATTACAGATATGTGCTGATTTTTAAAAAATATATATATTAAGGATTTAAAAAATTAAAATCACAAATAAAAAATATTAATTTTCATTTAGACTAAATTTAAACTAATTTACTGAAACGAGCAAAAAAAAAGTGTACTTTTACTTTAAAGTAAAATTGTGTATATTAGGGATTAAAAGATCTTAAAGTTTGCAGAAAATCAAATTTTACATGCTGACTGTGAAAAAATAAATAAAATCTGCCACCGTAATGTTCAATTTTTCTGTATTCAAATTAAAATAAAAACTTCTTTCCTTCTCATATTAGATATTTGCTGCACTAAGGGTTGGAAAATGGTGAATATTTTATTATTTTACAGATAAAATCACAGATAAACGTATTAATTAACATGTTATGTATGAAGAAACGTCACAGATCTACGTTTAGACAAACATCATGTCTTCAGCAGTAGCTCTGGTTCGGAGCTAAACATCTGATAATTGAGGCCATATTCACTGAACTCCTCCTGACTTGTGCTCAGTGCTGCGTGCTTCATGTGATGGAGATGGAAACTCAGCATGAAAGCAGGAGAGAGAAACGAAGGAGGAGGAACGTGAACAGCTCCGACACACTCCTGCTGTCGGTCGCAGCCAAAAATAGCTTCTCCCAGAAAAAAAAAACAACTGGAGAGAACATCGAACGCCTTCACAGAACAGAAACCTGCAGAACATAAACCTGCAGAACATAAACCACCATGCGCAGCATCTCCGTCTCCTTCTGACGCCACGAGACGAGAGACAGAACCAGAGTTTGTCCTGGACGGTAACAGGAACAGCTGCTTCACAGAGAATCTGTTCCACCTGCTGCTGCTGCTGCTCAAACACTCAGGATGGAGTGAAGACTTCACACCAGACGTTCATGCACGCCAACACGACCTGCTCTGGAGGAAACAGCTTCTCATTCGCAGCCACGACACTCAAGCTGTCGCAGAAACCAGAGAACGCAAATAATAAGGTAGAAGACAGTCTGATCAGATTCCTAGAAGGAAACTCTTTCCAGGAGTCTGATCACTGAACATTTTGTAGACAACAGTTTATTTATATGTAATTTGGTTATTTTATTAGATTTTCTCTGTTTTGTTAAATTACAGACAATAGTTAGTGTTAATTACATTCACAGTAAGAAAAAAAAAGAAAGACAACTGCTGTAAATAATGATCATTTAATCAGAAACTTGTATTAATAAAATAATAATTTGTTCTTTTACATTTTACCACAAAATTATGCTATTTTTACTGTATTTAAATCAATACTAAATATAATTATTTTATCTACTGTTATTTAAAAGAAAAATTATCTATATTAAGAAAACCGTTATTTCACAGATGTGCATTGTTTTGTTAAATTATAGTAAATAACCAAGAAAATGACAGAATTTTTTATTTTAGTTTTTTTTTACACATGATAACTGTAAGAAAACAGCCAAAAACTGTCTGTTAATAATATAATTTAAATGACATAAAACTACACAGTTTTACTGTGTTTTAATCCGACATTATTTCACATATGTTTACTGTTATCGTCACTGTTTTCACAGCTGTTCAACGTCTTTTAGAATATTTCTTTCTGCCGCTCTTGGTGCTTAAATTTTATATATTTTTTCTTCTTTTTTTACAGTGTAGAAAACGTCTTGGCTAGCTTCATGCTAACCTGCCATGAAACGGTTAACCTGTCAAACTCCTGAGATAAGAAAACCTACTAACGAGCATCTTTTAAAGCTAATCAACGCAACTACAGAAAAAAAAATCACTTTAATTATCATTTTGAAACACATAATGCCGCATGCATTTGTTGTTTGCAGTTGTTTTATTTTGAAAGTCTTTATGCTAATCTGACCGTCTCCTTGCTGCAGCGTCTAACATGATGAAGCACGGCGGCGGCATCATCATGTGGTCAACTTAATTTTTCGACAAAATATTACCAAAAAAATATTATTGCATGTAACCGTGTGAACAGATTTCTATGAAGTAATGTCAGTTAACTAAAAATATAAAATATGCATTAAGTTAAGGTTTGTTTGTTTTTTAAAATTTCAGCTGATAGATTTTTTTTTTTTTTTAGTTACTTGAAAGTTTATTCTCCAGGTGACCCATTTATAAAAATAATATGTTTGAAGCTCATAAATGCTCTGAATATGCGTCTTATTGCTACGTCCTGTACGTGACATAATGCTAAAAAAGCTAAAATTCTAACAAGCTGAGCATCTTCTCCTCATAGACCAGCCGTACATTCACACATGCACTTAGCTGGACTCCAACACACACTCGGCCTCGTTCACACAGAAACACACACACACACCCAGACAGACTGTGATCACCCACCAGCTCCGGCGTTGGCGGCCGGGGCGGACGTGGCTGCAGCTCCACCTTCGGCTGCAGCTGCAGAGGCCTCGGCGGCGGGAGCAGGTGTGGCAAAGGCATCTGAAGTTCACACGAACCCCAGGAAGGAGGACAGAAAGGCCAAGGAAACAGAAGATACAGACGAGGAGAGAAAAGTCAAGAAGATCAGGAAAAAAAACGAAGATCAGAGCTTTGCTGTGAGACACCGATGAGTGACGGGTGAGTGGACGAATGGGAGAACAGACAGGAGGCACTAGAGCGAGGTTCGGTCTACTGCACAGAGAGCAGAAGTAGAAGCCAGAAACCAGCGGATGTTAACGGCTGCCATCGGCGGCCGCTGGAGCCGCGTGGCAGCGTTTGATAGAATTGCTTTTCGGCGAGGTCGAGGAAAAGCATGTCGGCCTATCAAACAGCAGACGGATGGTGTGCAGCAGTATGTTCATGTGCAAGCCAAACGGTGAGGGAGGAACACCGTGTCTGCATGTGTGCATGTGGGAAAGAAGAGAAGGTGTGCATTTATGTATGTTAGAATCTACCATGTCTACGCCGTGTGGAGCCACAAATCGATTGTTCCTGCATGAACTACCAGAAGAAAAAGCTCCTTCAGATGTTTTTCATGTCATCATATCACTTTTTGTAGCTTTACTTTGGATTTTCTGACGTCACGTTTCATGACACTGGATGTTGCCGACTCCACGCCTTCTTGCCGCGACGCAACAGTTTTCACCGAAATTGAGCTACGCAGCAGAAGGAGCGCCTCTAAAACAGAGATCTATAAACCAATTAATTTTTTTTTTTTTTTAACTATCAAAACATGGTCCTTTAATTGTACTAACGTTTGCAAAATCCAGTTTTTAAAGGTGTAATTTAAACTGAGTCCATATTTCGCCAGTTAGCTCGTGCTAGCTAGCTAGCAGCTAATGCTGCCATTATGACTTTAAATTAATTCACAGTTTCTTTGTCAGCGTTTTTAAACACAGACTGAGGCCTTGAATTTAGAATTTGGGCATCGTTAATGTGTTCTTTTTTAAAAACTGCATGTCATATAAACCACATAGCCTAGCTTAGCATCACTTTTTGCTCCAAATGAGACCATCGTTTACAAAACGTGGTGTATTGAAGGAGACCTGACACTGCTTTCTGAGGCCTTAACCTCACTTTAGTCATTTTGTTATTTTATTTTATTTTTTCTATTTATTTTTTTTTTATTATTTTTACATTTTTTTTGTTCTATTCTTTTTTTAATTTATTTTTTCTATTTCTATTTTTTTAATTGTATATTTTTAATTTTCTTTATTTTTTTATTCTCTTTATTTTTTATTTTATTTTGTTTATTCTCAGAAATAAATTTAAAAAAGCATATCAAACAAGATCGCGGGTCTAAAGAGGTTAAACTTATTAGAAAAAAGCACCGCTGAGGTAAAAGTCGTACACTTCTATTCAATCTAACTTGTGTTTACAACCAGAGGAGTCGCCCCCTGCTGGCTGGGAGCAACATTTGTTTAACTTTCTCGACACACAGGCTTCATCACTCGTTTTCTCTCTGAGGTTGTTTTACAGAAGCTCGCCAACAACGTCCTTTTAATTTCAAATAATAATCAGCTCGTTATAACCTCGATAAAGTAGCGGCCATGCTAGCTGATTTAGCTTCTGACTCAAGAGCGACATTAACCAAAAAATCTGGCAGCTTTGTCGGAAAGTCAAGGAGAACGTGGCTCCACTGTCATGAAATGTCACGTTAAGAAACAAGAACCGACGTAAACAAACACGGCGTTTTGTCTGAGGCCATTTTATAAAGTTTATATATTCATTAAGATGTTCTAAATTATCCACATGATCATTTACACGCTAATCGGTAAATCATTTGGGGCTCCGTGAGTCTGGCAGCTGAGATGATGAGTTGTGCATCAGTGCAGTAAGAAGTGAGAGTTTCTGATGATGCAACTTTGCTTGCAGCGTTCAGACGGTTATCTGCGTCGGATCAGCAAAGTTCTGCCTTCAGACCGGGTGTGTGTGTGTGTGTGTGAGCATGCAGTCGACTGTCAGATCGTGTGATGGGTTCAGGGTCGAGCTTCCCAGAGTCATTCTTTGGCAGAGAATTTTCTGGAAGCCCACTGACCTCCCAACAGATCCATATTACCGGCGGCGGCGCCAGGGGAGGTGGCGGCGGCGGCGGCTGCCGTGCTAGTGGGAGGAGCTAGAGAGCCTCCGGGTTCTGCCGCTGCAGGAGTGGGCGTGGCTGCTGCAGGGGAAGGGGCGGGCTCTGCTGTGAGGGTGGGTTCGGATAGCAAGGAGTCGCCCATTTCTGCAGGCACCAATGAGGCGCCGCCAAAATAAAGATTAAAAATTAAAAAAGAGAGAGCAACCAAAAACAACCAGAGGAGTCACCGCCGGGACGGTGGAGGGAAAAAAAAGAAAGAAGCCAAAACAAAAGTCCAAATCAAACCCAGTGAAAGAGAATTTAGAATCGAGCGACAAAAAACAAAAATTAATTAAAGTGATTCGACACCAGCCGGTCGTAACCAAGAAACCAAAAACAAAAAAACAACCAAAAATAGCCCCCGTTAGGTATAAACCAAAACCAGACAATGGAGTATGTGGAGGGAGGGAGGGAGAAGGCAGAGAGAGACAAAGAGAGCACTCAGACTAAAGAGAACAGCTCGAGGAGACAAACAGGGACCAACACATCCTACAGGATCAGCTTCATCTGAAGTAAAACACCGACGTCGCCTCCAGGTCGCCTCCATGGCACAGAAGGAGGCATCGAGGTGAGCTGGAGGAGGACGTTAGGCCCTTTTAAGACTCGCTTATGTTCATGTGATGGCATCTGAAAGTTTTTCACTTTGCATACAGTCGCCTTAACGGATGGACTAGATGACGGACTTGGAGCTGCACGGAGCAGTTAGT